GATCGTTTTCAGAGTAATCTACTCTGTATTCAAGTCCATTCGAGTCGATCAAGGGAGCGAGACCCCGGCACCTTGCCAGTCAGGTCGATCGATTCGAATTGTAAGTCAGACAACGTCGTTATCAGTCGTCTGCCAGTGCTGCCGGGCTCATAACCTCTCGGCGTAAGGCTGCCGAGAGCTCAGTGGGGAAATAGATGAAGTCTATCTAGGCATAGAAGATCAATATATTATTGCTCCCTCTGGGGAAGAAAAGGAAGAACTGACTAGGAGCCGGCGTTGAGGTCGGCTCTAAATCTGCGTGGCCGGTTTGGCGGTCACGTGGTAACTGACAGCTGATTGGTCAGACCTGGCAGCTGCCTGAATGCCGTATGGGTCAGGCACCAACAACATGTAACTTCCTAAGTGTGAGGAGGGGCTGTATTGCATTCCATTGCACATACATTACATCTCTTTCTATATCCCATTGCCTCAGGGGTTATATTATATTGTTATTGCTTATCGTATAATTTATATATTATCTACGTCTTAGAACGAGAGAAGGAAGAAAATGACCGCTCAAGACAACCAAACCACAAACCACTCGTCCGAGGATCAGAAATCCCAATCCCAATCCCAATCCCAGCTCCCATCATGGTACCAGAAGAACGTCACCAGCATCAACCCCGAAGCGCAACATCTTCTCGAGTCGTACAGCGGCTTCAAGCCGGAGGAAGTCGTGCCGCATGTTGTTGCTTTGGTAAGAGACCTTCGTCTGTGCAGTACGTACGTACTGACTTCACCAGCGCGATGAAGCATTCCAAGTCTACCACTACTCCTGCATCGGCCAGATGCGCTTCCTCTCCTTCAACCTCTCGCACATGCCCTTCTGGCCGCGCGTGCTGGAGTGGCTGCGCTCTGACCCAGAGGCAGGCTTCCTAGACGCCGGGTGCTGTTTCGCGCAGGAGGTGCGGTTCCTCGCCAACCAGGAGGGCATTTCCGACAGGCAGCTGTACGGGTGCGATCTGGAGAAGGTGTTTATCGACCTGGGCTACCGCCTCTTCCGCGACGAGGGCAAGCTGGCCGCGACGTTTGTGGTTGGCGACCTGGCGGTCGCGGACGACGACGTCTACGAGGCCAGCGACCTGGCCAAGACGCTGCGCGGCAAGATGGACGTCATCTTCGCCAGCTCGCTGTTCCACATGTGGGACTATGACGTCCAGCTGCGGGTTGCCCGCCGCATGGTGGCCATGTGTCGCGACCGCGAGGGCGTCATGATCACCGGCCGCCAGATGGGCAGTCTCCTGGGCGGACGGTACCCGATGACGGGGATGAAAGAGGGCGGAAGCACCAACTACCGCCACAATGTCGAAACTATCAAGGGCTTCTGGCACGATGTGGGCGAGGCGACCAATACCCGCTGGACGGTCGAGGCCGACACCTACTGGGGCGAGGAGATGGAACAGACCAAGAATGCGCCCTGGGCGGAACCGAATATGCGGATGATCTGGTGGTGCGCGACGAGAAAGAAGTAGTTGAAAAAGTAGAATATAGAATGAAATTGTCGTTACATCATTTCCATTCAGACCCAAAATAAATACATGCATGTATGTACAGACTATTTCATCAAGTGTAAATTCATCCAGACACATCCACATCAGTCCTCACATGGATATGATTGTTGTTGTTATAATTCTTTCCAAAGTCCCTTCGGAATTCGTACTCTGGTCGTTGCGTGCTCGTCACATGGCTGTGATACAGGTACTCTTCACTCAGGTTGCTCAACGTGTACGGCCGTGGCGGCATCCTCACCGACGAAGACTTCATCGCATATGTCTGCGACGCGTCCGTCCCCTGCTTCGACCCAATTGAAACCCGGACCAGCGAAAAGACCGGCACGACTGACGCGCACACGATGGCCAGGTTCAGTTCGGCCACGTTCAGAATGTCGAATGGCACTGTGCCATACGTGGGGTCCTCGCTGGCGTCGGTGTCGACTTCTAGGACGATAATTCGGGTGAGACCGCAGCAGCAGGCACTGCCTCTGGTCAGTTTCGTTTCTCTCCCAAATTTCCTGTCTCTGGTGCAAGACAAAACCTACACTAAACCCACGCCAAATAACGCGACCAAACCAAGCCGTTTCGACAGGGGCAGTTGCAGATTGGAGACCGTCGCCAGCGGCAGCAGCAGGACGGCGAAGTCGGAGATGACGCTGAAGATCAACGGGATGGCGACGACCCTGACCGAGGACGAACATTCGCCTTTGATGTGGGATTTGGGGTCAAACCGCTCCCAGTAGGTCTGGGGCGGCAGGCATTGGAAGATGTAGAACAGAGTCGAGCCAATCGCCCACAGGACGGCGTAGACGAGGTTGATCCACCACACGACTGTGAGCCAGCGCTGGTAGGTGAGGAAGAGGCGGCGGTAGAAGAACAGAAGCGCCAGCTTGACGGCGAGCAGGCAGGGACCGTTGAAGACGGCTGTCAACCAGAAAGTCTGAGAGCCGTCAGGTCTGTCTCTTCAGATTAAGTCCTGATTCGCACTCACCACGAAGATGTTCTTGATGTTCTGCATCGACGGGTCCTCGGCCTTGACCCGCCATATGTGCAGGCCGAGGCCATAATGCTCGCCGACCAGCGTCGCGACGGTGACGACGTTTGCGAAGATCTAGAACCACTCAGTCGAATGCGGTCGAAAGGGGGAAGAACAATTGACTGCATACCAGAGCAGCGACCAGACAGTGGTCCTCCAGCAGCGGTCGCTTGTGCAGCCGGCATTGGGCCCAGATGCGCAGCAGCACCGACAGGTTGCCCAGCACCAGCAGCGTCACGCACACGCCCACGATGGCGGGCTGGTGCGAATGCGACCACTCCGCCAGTTGCTCTGCTGTCAGCGGCATGTTGGCTGTCCAGCAGAGGAGATCTTATCTCCTGCACGGATGATGAACTGGGATCAGGCGTGGAGGAGGGTGTTGAGCATCAAGCAGACATGGATGTAATAGACATGGATGTAATCGTTCTCGCATCCATCCCAACTGCAAGCCAGCCCCCTGCAAACGCAGGGTCCCAGGAACCGCGTGCAGGGTGAGATCGCGGTGATAAGCTTTGGAATGCTACTGGGGTGCGACTCTTGCGACTTGGACCCTTGCATGGCTGCCCTGGCTGGTGGAGAGCGAGTAACTACTGCATGGTGTTCATGCGAGCAGGGATGGCACCCTGTAGGATAGGCTCGTGGCAGGCCTGGCTGCGTTAGTGATGGAACATCCTTGTCAGCAACCATGCTACGTACCTTTCCACTAGAGTATACCCGGTAGACAGTGCTCCATGATTGATTATCGCCTTGAAGGGATACCATAGCGGGACAGGATCGACACTGCAATTCCTCGGCATTTGACCCCACAGGGCATACAGCAGGCTGGAGAGCGTCGAGCACGGGCACTGATCAGTGGTTGCGCTTCAGCGTGAGACATGAACAGGCCCATCCGGCGAGGTCACCGTGAGTTTTGGCCCCCAGGATGAGAATTTAGCACGAGCCCTGCTCCGGAGCACATTGGGCTCCGTGCTCCGACTGACAAGCAGACAAGCTCGAGCGGATGGCGGACGGGAGGCAGATTGGGCGGGTGGTGGCGGAGTCTACTCCGGAGTAGTCCGCGTTTACTGCTCCTTGCTGCATGGTATCTAACTCTATTTATGATTGCTTACGGCTTAGGGCAGGTAGTATTCTTCGTCCTTCTTACTGCAGGATATACCCACAGCCTAAGCTAATCCAGAAGCCAAAGACGAATTCTGTACGGAGTACGTCTATCAGATCAGAACGAGCCGTCAATCAAAGGCACCCAATTGAATCTCCTGATCTAAGTATAATCATCCAGGTCAGAAATCCAGAATGATCACTGGATCGGGAATTTCTTTCAATAGCCTGCAGAAGGATTGCAACCCCTGCCTGCTTATTCAGCTTAGCGGACAGCCTCCGATCTCTGCTGCCCAAAACGGCATTGTGATTCGTCGCCCCCAACCGATCGATCACGCCGGCAAGATCGTTGCATGCACGTGCGCGCCCGTGATCGGACTGATGTCGTGCATAACCTGAGTATATTTACTGCTATTATTATGCAGTATGAGTATAGTATCATTGTGTGTTCAACTCGTATGACGGATTGGATGCCATCGACTGAAGCTTCAAGGGGACAGCCAGGATGGCCTGATAGAGGACCCCAGTCGACTCACTGCTGACTATATCTAGTACGACCGAGCTAAATTTAAATCCAGATTAGCATGACGCCAATCTCCACCTCTAGCCCTTTTCAGTTTAATGCTTATTTTTCTTATTCCGTCCTTGTCTTTTATCGGCAGAGCACAACGGAGTATACAATACTAGGTACGGTAGATGTGCTTCCTACGACTCCGTACAGCGCCATTGCCGGTAATATTGATCAATGTCACCTCAATAGTCTGACTTAAGAGCGCCATTTTTTTAGCACCCGTTTTTTTTATCTTAACTGTAACTCCACGGCAAACGGGTTCGGTATATCTCCCGGGACAACTCCCGTGAGGATAGACTGACTGGTTTCGCTCGCCATGATGCTACACAGCCAGCCACGCATTTTTATTGCGTAAAGAGAGGCCCCATCGATAGATCGTCCTGTGGTCCTCTCGAGCGGAGTCACTTGACCTCCCATTGCTAAGGATCGATGGGCTCGCTCTAGCAATACTCTGGAGTATGTTCGCTCGAAGATGACGTCTGTCGGTACATACTCCGTAGTAGGGGCGAGTATCTATCTACCTAGGTTGTACCTGCGAGCTGCGTCGGATTACGCGGAATCTAGGTACCTCCATGCCGCCATACATGTACCCATGTACCCCTCCCGACAGTCTGGGGGGAGAGAGGAGTGGATCTACAATCCCATGTCAGTCTTTGCCTGCAGATAGTCGCGAGAAAAGAAAATTAAAAAAAAGATGGCGATCCAAGCTCAGACATATGAAAATCACACTTCGCCTCCAGTGGCCAAGACTCGTGATGGCACGACGGTCAAGACCTTGATAGATATCCTGGCTGCTGCGTCTCAAACAGACACCGGAGTAAATTTCTACACATCGCCCGGCGAATCGATCCGCTTCAGCTACAGACAGCTGCTCGCAGACGCAGCAGACAAAGCACGCTTGCTGCACAAGACCCCTGGGTTAACGGACCGGAGAGTCGTCCTCATACACTTCGACAACCATGTCGACAATATCACCTGGTTCTGGGCGGCCGTCCAGGCAGGCCTGTTGCCGGCCATGTCCACTCCGCTGTCCGCGAATGCCCAGCAGCGTCAGCAGCACTTGCGCCATCTCACGACTCTGCTCGACAATCCTTTGATTGTGACTTCGGAGCGTCTCACCAAGCGCTTTCCCGAACTCAAGCTGCCGTCCACGCTTGAAATAGAGTCTCTGCAGCACAGTGCCAACGGCACCAGCGACGGTGTAACAAACGGAACCCTTCCTCAGCGCGCACCGTCTCAGGGCGATGAGCCCGCCGTGCTGATGCTCACCTCCGGCAGCACCGGCAATGCCAAAGCCGTGCCGCTGACCGTCCCTCAAATGGTCGCTTCCGTCCGCGGCAAAGGCAAGGCCTGCAACACGACCGCCAAGTCGGTCTTTCTCAATTGGATCGGACTGGACCATGTGGCCAACTTGCTCGAGATTCATCTCCATGCCATGTTTCACGGAGCCGAACAGGTGCAGGTGCAGGCCAACGATGTGATCTCCGATCCACTGCTCTTCTTGAATCTCATCCACAAGCACCGCGTCTCCCACTCGTTCGCTCCCAACTTCTTTCTGGCGCTCCTGAGCAAGAGACTGGCGGCGGCGGACCCGTCAGATCCGGTCTTTTCAATTGACCTGTCCTGTCTTCAGGGCATTGTAACTGGCGGCGAGGCAAACGTGGTGGAAACCGCAAAGACAGTCACGGAACAATTGAACCGTCTCGGTGCCCAGGGCCAGGTGTTCCGCATTGGATACGGTTTAACGGAGGTATGCGCTGCCCTCACATATGGCATGTTCGATCCCGAGTATGAGGACAGAGAAAAACACGAATTCGCCTCGATTGGCAGGCCTATCGACGAGGTCAGAGTCCGCGTCCAGACATTCGAAGGGATGCCTGCAGAGCCATACCAAGTCGGCGACCTGCACCTGTCCGGTGACGTCGTATTCAAAGGTTATTATCGCGACTTTGACGCAACCGCCAAGTCGTTCACCAAGGACGGCTGGTTCATCACCGGAGACAGGGGATACGTCGACTCTTCGGGAAAGCTCAACCTCGTCGGACGGAACAAAGAAATTCTCATCATCAACGGGGTCAACTATTCGCCACAGGATATCGAGAATGCTTTGGAGTCGGCCAATCTTCCCGGAGTGGTGTCGTCGTACTTTGCAACCTTCTCCCACAGGCCCAAAGGTAGCGACACAGAGGGATACTGTATCGTCTACAGCCCGCAGAACACCTTTGAGGATCCCCAGGTCCGCGACCGGATTGCCGAGTCGATCGCAAGAACCGCAAGTGCTGTGCCTGGAGTTCGTCCAGACTGGGTGATCCCCCTGCCCGTAGCCCGTCTGGAGAAATCGTCTCTCGGTAAACTGTCTCGAACCAAGCTGAAGAGGGAGTTTGACACTGGCGCCTTCAACGACGTGATGATTCGAAGCAAGGCACCAATTCAAACGTACCATCACACGGCGCGTGTGCCCCCAGTCACTCAGACAGAGAAAGAGATCGTCGATGCCCTGAGCGAAATGCTCGAAATGCCTGCCGATATCATCTCGGTGGATCGGACTATTTTTGAACTGGGGGTGACATCGATCAGCCTCTTCCGCTTTGAGCAACTGCTGCGCAAACGGTTCGATATCGCCGCGGGTGTGTCCATCATCACATTCCTCAACAGTCCAGTGATTCGAAACATCGCGAATGCAATCGATAACGCCAATTCCAACCAGTACAACCCCGTCGCGCAGCTGCAGGCGCGTGGTGACAAGACCCCACTCTGGCTGGTCCATCCAGCCTCGGGCAATGTCCTGGCTTTCCTTCCGCTATCGCGCACCATGGTGGATCGTCCCCTGTACGCGCTGACGGCGCGAGGGCTCAGCAGCAATGAGCCGTTGTTTTCCAGCATCGCCGAGATGGCAGATACGTACTTCCAGCATGTGAAGCGCGTTCAGCCCCATGGGCCGTACGCATTGACCGGCTATTCGCTGGGTACGACGGTGGCATACGAGCTGGCCAAGCGGCTTGAAGCCAACGGCGACGAAGTGGCATTCTGCGGCGCGCTGGATTCTCCGCCACACATTATCCCCCTGGTCGGGCATCTGGACTGGACGGCCGCTGCGGTTCGGGTGACCTACTTCCTCGAATTGATTGCCCAAGATGACATTCCCAAGTATGAGGAGCAACTGCGGGGGCTGCCGCAGATCGACGTCGTGAAACGGCTTCTGGAGTTGTCCCGACCTGAGCAACTCGCGAAGCTCAAGCTGACCCCGGAGCAGCTCATGGCGATTGTCCATGTGACAGACAATTTTGGTAAGCTGGCCGGTTCCATTCTTTTCGAGAGGAAGATACGCTGACCAGAGCAGGAAAAATGGGCAAGAAATACGAGCCCAAGGGCAAGATCAAGAAGATGGATGTCTTCTATTGCACGCCACTGCATTCGGTGTGCCTGAGCAAGGAGAAGTGGGTGAGCGACCAGCTGGCGAAGTGGCAGGACTTCTCGCGCGAGCCGATCGAGTTCATCGAGTGCGAGGGCGACCACGCGGACATGCTCAACTCTACGTATGTGGAGGGATTTGAGGAGCGGCTCAACAGAGTCCTGGCGGCCAGAGGTCTCTAGAACAGGAATCCTGTTTGTACGAGGAGAGCGTGCTGTATAGTATTTTGAATGCAATCTGTCAGCAGATGGCGCTTAACCCGATTGGGCTGGATCTTGTCACGTTGCCACTAACCCGATCAGGCAACTGCACGTCTCCCAGTTTCCCGCGGCATCACTGTCAGTCGACGGGAAAGGAGAACAGAAGCCTTTGCAAGAATTCCTTCAGCCCGCCGATTTCGGTGAAAATTATGATGCTGCTGGGGCATGCGGTCGTCTTCGTAGATCCGTATCCATAGGTAGAGTAGGCCCTGTGTCGATTAGATTGTCCACTGTGCACATCTCCGATCAGTGACTCCGTCGAGCTGCTGTATCTCCGCCGGCCAACCTCCAATGGCTCCGTGTGCCTGACAACTCTCACCTCGTACCCTCGGGCCCCTCCAGTGCAGGTAGCTCATGCTCCTCTCGGCCGCCGGTCCTCTTCCAAGACCGCTGCCCCGCTGCAAGTCCAACTTTGTTGGTCCAATCCCCCTCGCTGCGTTATTGGCGTGTCGAAGCCTGTCGACTGCCCATCGAGGGGCATCGTCCCGGACCGTTCGCGTGCTCGCTTCTCCTCCCAGATCGTCCACACCATCCGTGCGGGGGAAAGAATTTCCACGGCTCCTCGTTTCGTCTGGCACTCCTCCTTGTCATCGTCGAGCGTTGGCGACTACCGGGATCAAGATGGTGGGAAAGAAGATCGATGGCACCGCGATTGCCAAGGATATCCGGGAGAGGCTGAAGGGGGAGATACAAAAGCTACAGGAGACCAATCCGCGGTTCAAGCCCAACTTGGTCATCTTCCAAGGTTCGTTGTTTGCTGAAACTCTTCCGGTAGAAATTAAAACTACGACAGTGCTGACAGAAATGTTATAGTTGGTGACAGATCCGATTCAAGTATACTTCCCACCTCTACGACTTCCACCGGACAATGTACTGACGCAATGCAGGCACATATGTGCGCATGAAATTAAAAGCTGCGGAGGAAGTGAGTGCCCCAGTTGATGTCGGTTCCGCGAAAAGGGTCTAACAGCGCTCTTTCTACAAGGCAAATATCCTCTGCAGCATTGTCAAGTTCCCCGAGTCGATCACCCAGGCGGAGATTATCCAAGAAATCACCAAGGCAAACAATGACCCTGCCGTGCACGGAATCCTCGTCCAACTGCCTCTCCCTGAACATATCTCCGAACACGCAGTGACATCTGCTGTCGCCGACGAGAAGGATGTCGACGGGTTTGGCGCGGTCAACATTGGCGAACTTGCCAAGCGAGGCGGTCGCCCTCTGTTCGTGCCTTGCACCCCTCAAGGTGTTATGGAGCTCCTGCGGGTGAGCGGAGTTGACCTGCAGGCAAGGAGGCAGTCGTGCTGGGTCGCAGTGATATCGTTGGCAGCCCTGTCAGCTATCTCTTGAGGAACGCTGACGCCACCGTTACTGTGTGCCACTCCAAGACTAAGAACTTGGATGAGATTCTCAAGCGCGCAGATATCCTCGTGGCTGCGATTGGAAAGCCGGAGTTTGTCAGGGGTGAGCAGCTGAAACCGGGCGTTGTTGTCATTGATGTTGGTATCAATTATGTTCCGGACGCTTCCAAGAAGTCTGGCCACAGGCTTGTGGGCGACGTCCACTTCGACTCTGCGGTCGAAGTCGCGTCCCAAATCACTCCTGTCCCTGGCGGTGTTGGTCCCATGACCGTGGCTATGCTTCTTCAGAACGTTGTCAACGCTGCCAAGGCCTACTTTGACAGGCAGAAGAACAGGCATATCGTGCCGCTGCCTCTGAAGCTGACCAAGCCTGTTCCATCTGACATTGCTATTTCTCGTTCACAGCGTCCAAAGCCTATCACTGCCCTTGCGGCGGAGATTGGTATTGAGGCCCATGAGCTGGAACCTTACGGCCACACCAAGGCCAAGGTGAGCCTGAGCGTTCTGGATCGTTTGGCTCATCGCCGCAATGGACGGTACATTCTAGTCACTGGGATCACTCCCACCCCTCTGGGAGAGGGAAAGTCCACTACCACGATAGGTCTCACCCAGGCTCTGGGGGCGCATCTGGGCAGGATCGCTTTCGCCAATGTCAGGCAGCCCAGCCAAGGCCCAACCTTCGGTATTAAGGGAGGCGCTGCAGGAGGTGGATACAGCCAGGTCATTCCTATGGATGAATTCAACCTTCATCTGACTGGCGATATTCATGCCATTACTGCCGCCAACAACCTCTTGGCGGCGGCTATTGACACTCGCATGTTCCACGAAGCTACGCAAAAGGATGGCCCTCTCTACAAGCGGCTGGTGCCCACCAAGAATGGAAAGCGGGAATTCCAGCCCGTTATGTTCCGACGGCTGAAGAAACTGGGCATCGACAAGACCAACCCGGATGACCTTACGGAGGAGGAAATTCGTCGCTTTGCTCGGTTAGATATCGACCCCGACACGATTACCTGGCGTCGTGTGTTGGACGTCAACGACCGACACCTTCGCGGAATCACTATCGGCCAGGCTCCCACCGAGAAGGGTCTGACTCGCGAGACGGCTTTCGATATCTCCGTGGCGAGTGAGTGCATGGCCATTCTGGCTCTGAGCAACGACCTCGCCGACATGCGGGAACGACTGGGACGGATGGTGATTGCGACGTCGAAGAATGGCGACCCCGTCACCTGCGATGACATTGGTGTTGGTGGGGCTCTGACGGCTCTCATGAAGGACGCTATCAAGCCCAACCTGATGCAGACTCTGGAGGGGACTCCGGTCTTTGTCCACGCTGGTCCGTTCGCGAACATCAGTATCGGCGCCAACTCGGTGGTGGCCGACAAGCTTGCGTTGAAGCTTGCTGGTACCGAACCCGACGAGGACCACGACGCCAAGACGGGATTTGTGGTGACGGAAGCTGGCTTCGATTTCACCATGGGTGGCGAGCGCTTCTTCAACATCAAGTGCCGATCTTCCGGCCTTGTTCCCGACACGGTGGTCGTGGTCGCGACGGTCCGGGCGTTGAAGGTGCACGGTGGCGGGCCCGAAATCTCGCCTGGTGCACCGCTGCCTGACGTCTACCGGACGGAAAACTTGGAGATTCTGCGCAAGGGCTGCGTGAATCTGCGCAAGCACATTGAGAATGCCAAGCAATACGGCATCCCCGTCGTGGTCGCGATCAACAAGTTCGACACGGACACCGATGCCGAGATTGCACTGATCCGCGAAGAGGCCATCGCGGCGGGCGCGGAGGACGCCGTCCCGGCTAACCACTGGGCGGAAGGCGGAGCTGGAGCGGTTGACTTGGCGAAGAGCGTGATTGCGGCGAGCTCCAAGCCCAAAGACTTCAAGCTGCTGTACGATCTCGACGGGACGGTGCAGGAACGCATTGACCGGATCGCCAAGGCCATGTACGGGGCGGACAAGGTGGAGTTCAGCGAGCTGGCGCAGAAGAAGGTGGACACGTACACGAAGCAAGGCTTCGGAAACCTGCCCATCTGCATTGCCAAGACGCAGTACTCGCTCAGCCACGATCCAGCCCTCAAGGGAGCTCCTACGGGCTTCACGGTGCCCATCCGCGACGTGAGGTTGGCCGTGGGAGCAGGATATCTGTGAGTGTTTTTTTCTCCCTTTCCGTCATTTTGTTCTTTTACTGACAAAAAAACAGCTACGCCCTTGCTGCTGACATTCAGACCATTCCCGGTCTGCCCACAGCACCGGGATACCTCAACGTGGACGTGGACCCCGAGACGGGAGAGATCGATGGACTGTTTTAGACACCCATTGCTCTGACGTCTGCATCGGTGGTTGTTATATACCCATTGGTAGTATTTGAGTATTTTTTTTCTCTTTTTCTCTTGTTTACAAAGCGGTTCAACACATGGCCAAAACGGATGGGAGCTGGACGGGCGTGCATAGCGGGATGGGGCATGGCATGAAGACATGGTGGTGGTTTTTCAACACCTGGAGCGGTTATGATTTATATGCTTAGATGCTTACTGGTGAATGCATCGGATATTATTGTTCATATGGCAGTTGACTGCAATAAATGATACTGTGACCTAAGTATAGAATCGACTGTGTATTGTGCTTACATAAGGAATTGGTGCCTCAGGCACGATTCCCGGGGACGGACGGTTCTTCTCCGACAGAAGCCGGCAGAGCAGTTGCCGCGGAGGAAATGCTCCGCTCCGGAGACTCAAACGGCAAGTCACGGGCAGTGAGGGGCCAGTGACAAACAGTGACAAGTTTGTTCGACTTGCAAGACAGCTGGTCTTTGGCAGACTGTTTGTTTTATAAGGCTATTGATTGTATATAGTGAAATGCTGAATACACAGACAACTTAACTGCATCTTGCGTCGACATGCTCTCATCCAGCAGTTCTGCAGCAACACCAGCATGACGTCTCGAGGCCGGCTTCGGCGGCATGCTGTGGGGAGCCCCGCCCAGCCGGCGCGTTGGGTCGCCTGCAGGCATCCTGTCCTGGCCCAGTTTATCCGGACAGGAAAAACAAGCATCGCTGAGCTCCCAGCGCAAGGAGTGCACTTAGAGCACCGCGCCAGCCCTTTCTGGACAGCATTTCTTCCTCTCTTCGCCGTAGTTCTCTTCTCTCCCGTTCCTCGTTCTCTTCTGCTTCTCTTCTGCCTCTCTTCTGCTGCCTGTTGTGCTCGACGCCTCTGCGCCGGATCTGTACGCTGCAACCTCCACACCCACGACCGCCTCCGCCGCCTACTGGTCCACCTCTTCCGATCACCTCGGCTCTGCTGCGGACGGACGGACGAGGCAACGCAGGCGCTTGGGATCCGAAACACCACGGCATCAATCGGGAAAAGAAATAGAGCAGGAGACTGCAGCTCTCGTCGTTCGGGTAGTCTCGAACTGCTCGCCCAATCTAGTCGACCAGAATGCTTCTGCTTCGGAACAGTCCCGCCATTGCGCGCGGCGGCCTCCAGCTGCCCTCTTCCTCTCTCTTCTCCGTCTCTCGTCGCTCTGCCTTCTCTACTACTTCCTCTGTCTCTGCTTTCCGTGCTTCCTCATCGTTTTCTTCTCGCTCTGTGAACCCGCGAGCTGGTCTTGTCGTTCTCCCTTTGCGTTCTGCCCCTCTCGTCTCCCAGCATCTCTCTGCCGCATCGCTGCCCTCGCTGACCCAGGTTCGCACCATGGCTTCCGAGCGCGCCAAGATCAAGGTCAAGAACCCAGTTGTGGAACTGGATGGTGATGAGGTACGCTAGAGCCCCCTGTAGCCGTCGATCTTTCCTTCTGCATTTTATAGATCCAAGAGAGAATGAGTGAGATCGGGAGGAAGGATGGCATGGGCTTGCAGTGTTCTTGGTTTTATTTTCGTCTGCTCCCGAAGAGCGCGGGGAAATACGGCGATGAACTTCAGCCCCTCACCAATCATGCCGCTTCAGTCTGCATCTCAAGACATGGCATCGTGCTGACCGGTAGCCGTTTCTGGCATGTTTTCTTGTAGATGACAAGGATCATCTGGAAGGATATTAAGGAAAAAGTAAGCTTCGCCAGCGCCTGCACCCCCTGTCGTCGCGATGTGGCGGCCCTGCAACGGAATCGTGATCACATGCGGGGTGTATGTATTGTGACTGATACTAACTTTGCCAATAGCTCATCCTGCCGTGAGTGATCCATCATCCTGGTGTCCCTGCGTAAAGATGCTGCATGCGGTGCGGGGACGTTGCTCCTGCGGATGGCTTCTAAGACGAGCTGAACAGATACCTCGACATCGACCTGAAGTACTATGACTTGGTATGGGCCAATGGTCGTCCGACTTGTATTTTCTAGCCTAACAGCAAGCAGGGCTTGGAATACCGTGACCAGACCGACGACCAGGTTACCATCGACGCTGCCGAAGCCATCAAGAAGTATGGCGTTGGTGTCAAGTGCGCCACCATCACCCCCGACGAGGCGCGGGTCAAGGAGTTCAACCTGAAGAAGAGTACGCTCGCCAATCACCATGTCGTGGGTCCCAATGACTGACCATGAATACAGTGTGGCTGTCTCCTAATGGCACCATCCGAAACATCCTGTAAGTCTCCACTGTTGGAACTGTTGCTCACCGTAGATTCTCATATCCGCTGCAGGGGTGGAACGGTGTTCCGTGAACCCATTGTGATTCCCAGAATTCCTCGTCTCGTCCCTGGCTGGACGAAGCCCATCATCATCGGTCGTCACGCTTATGGTGACCAGTACCGGGCGACCGACCGTCTCATTCCCGGCGAGGGCACTCTCGAGCTGGTCTTTACTCCCAAGGGTGGCCAACCCGAGACTCTCAAGGTCTTTGACTTCAAGGGACCTGGTATCGCACAGACCCAATACAACACGGATGAGTCGATCCGTGGCTTCGCTCATGCCAGCTTCCAGATGGCGCTTCTCAAGGGGTTGCCCCTGTACATGAGCACCAAGAACACCATCCTGAAGAAATACGATGGCCGCTTCAAGGACATCTTCCAGGAGATCTATGAGAACGACTACAAGAAGGAGTTCGAGGCCAAGAACATCTGGTATGAGCACCGTCTGATCGACGACATGGTCGCTCAGATGATCAAGAGTGAGGGTGGATTTGTCGTTGCCATGAAGAGTGAGTCTGTCCCTTCTTCAAACTAGCGCAATCAGTGGCTGACAGTCGTTCAGACTACGATGGTGATGTCCAGTCCGACATTGTCGCCCAAGGCTTTGGGTCTCTCGGCCTGATGACCTCCACCCTGACTACTCCTGACGGATCCGCCTTCGAATCCGAGGCGGCCCACGGCACCGTGACGCGCCACTACCGCGAGTGGCAGAAGGGCCGTGAGACGTCGACGAACCCGATCGCGTCCATCTTTGCCTGGACCCGTGGTCTCATCCAGCGTGGTAAGCTGGACAACACTCCGGACGTGGTGACGTTCGCGGAACAGCTGGAGCGTGCTTGTATCGATGTGGTCAACGATGATGGCATCATGACCAAGGACCTGGCGCTGGCTTGCGGTCGCAAGGAGCGTGAGGCCTGGGTCACGACGCGGGAGTACCTGGATGCTGTTCAGAAGAAGCTGAATGCGAACCTGGCTCAGGCCAAGCTGTAGACATTGACTTTCCCGTTGCACGTCCCTGTTGCATGTCATCTTGGTTATTTACCACTGGTATAAGATGTGATGATTTATAAATGTACATACCCTTGTCCGTCCTTTGAAGCTCGAAGTGGAGCTAGACCTAATTGACAATCAGTCAATTGGGAATATACTTTTGAGTCAGAGGTTTTTATGATCACTAGGTAGATGTCTGGTTCCTCCTCGAGGAAATACGTTTCTATCTTTCTGTCAACAACGCAGTATTTAAGTTTCGCTGCCCACCACTATGAGTCTGATAACCAAGAACGGACAATCTCTTTTGTTTCAATATTGTAGACAGTATTGGAACTGAGTTACCCAGTAGAATACAATAGTAAAATCCCTGTCAGCAAAAAGCATCTTTTGTAGCACTGTCTGCTCTGAAAGGGCCCATACTGTTAACCCATTCAACAGTTACGTATTGGTGTCTTTTTTTATTTATATACTAAGCATCCACATACAAGTCCTACTCTTCGGAAGAGGGCTATTGTTAACACTCACCGTGGCAAATCATATAGGAATATTTACACTTCTCAGATATTGTTACAGAGAAGAATTTGGTATTTGTGGGCTTTGACGTTTAAGGACTCGTCAATTAATGGTAGAATACTCCAAGTCTAGACAGTCAATCCCCACAGTATGGACGCACTATGCAGAGACTAAAGGACCCGCCCCCGCACGATACATCAACCTTCCCCGCAAAAGTCGAACTCCTGCATAGGTACGGGAGCATCTTTTCATCAGACTGGATCTTTTTTTTTTACATGTCGTAATGTCCGCGCCAATTGAGTCGTCCGGACAAACGACTCATGGTAGCAGCCGCAAGCGACGTGCCTCCCAGGCATGCTCCACGTGTCGCGCCCGCAAAGTCCGCTGTGACATGCTGGAGACGGGGCTGCCGTGCTCGAGATGTCGCATTGACCGATTCGAGTGTGCGACGGAACCGCGGAAGAAGAGAGGAAGACGGGCGGTGCATGGACATGCACCGAACCTAGAAGTACGAGATGAAGCGCCGGGGACGGGGTCTCCTCCTCCTCCTTTTCTTCTTCCCCGCGTACCTCTCCTTCTTCTTCCGTTCGAGCTCTCCCCAAGCATAGTATCCTCCATCAGGTCCCTTACTCCCCTTTTCTGCTCGAATTCGCCAATGTCCATCTTGACCGTGATGATCTCGAGACGCAGAATAACGCCGAAAGACTATCGTGCCACCCACTGTCTATCACCCACGACGACCGCAGCGAAGAAGAAGAGGAGGACATTCTCTTCCTAAGACGGAAAGGAGCCTTTGATCTTCCCCCACGACATCTCATGGACCAATTCGTCGCGGCTTATTTTAAAATATTCCATCCTTTTTTCCCTGTCATCGACAAGGAGACTTTTCTGAAGGATTATTATTATTGTCGGGCTAAGGGGGAAAAATCGGGTCGTCATGAGGGACCTAGTCTGCTTTTGTTGCAGGCTGTTCTTTTCGTCGCTAGCAGTGTAAGGGCGATATTGTAAAGTACATCTATTTATGTACAATTTCACATGCTGACTATTCGTAGTACGTTACCCCAGAGCTGCTGGCAGAAGCGGGCTTTTCGTCGCGCAAAAAGGCGCGGCAGGTGATTCACAGGAGAGCGAAGGTACGTCTGAAAAGCAGAGTTTCACAAAAAAAAGGTTCAGATGTGAAAGGTTCTAAGTTATTCTGCAGTACCTCTACATCTTCGACTACGAATCCAACGACATTGTCAACATCCAAGCCCTCCTCCTCCTGAGCCACCACTATTCCTCGATGATCGACCAGAAACACACCTGGCACTGGGTCTACCAGGCAATCAGCCTCGCGCAGGGCGCGGGTCTGCACCGGGATCCGGGACCTGCTGCCCCCCAGCGACGACTCTGGGCCCGGATCTGGTGGGCCTGTCTGGTCCGGGATCGCCTGGTCAGCCTGGGCACCAACCGGCCGATGCACATCAACAGTCTGGACTGCACAGTGCGGATGCTGACGCCGGAAGACCTCGCCGAGAACGGGGACGGAGACGAGGATCGCGCCGTCAAGGTCGTCTTTCTCGAATTCGTCAAGCTTTGCCAGTATATGGAGGGCGTTTTGTCGCTGCAGCATCCGTCATCAACGACGACGACGACGATGGCGGGCAAGATATTGTCCGAGCAAGTGAGGGTTTGCGAGAACACTCTGCAGAATTGGCTCGATCATCTTGCGCCGGAAGCGAGACGGCTGGACCAGTCGTTCAGCCGTCCAGGCATTGCTACCTTGTACAGGACTGTTCTGCATTTGATTTACAAGTAGTAGTCCCCCAGTTCTCTCTCTCTCTCTCTCTTTTAATTCATTCTTTTAAATCCTTTTACTGACGTCACTAGTACCGTGATCATCGCACTGAATCAGTGCTCCGTCCCAGGCACTATTGAGACATCCAACTCTCGCATGACGCGCCAGGAAAAGATCCAACATGCTGCAGCCGACTCGACCCAGCTGGTCGCTCAACTGGTGAATTTCGATCTTGTCAAGTACTGTCCAACGATCTGGTACGGTCTAAGGATTAATCCTGAATCGCCGTTTTTTTTTCTAACTGCCTCAAGCGTGACAGCCGTGCTCCCTCCATTGATCATCCATCTCCTCGGAATCCGCACGTCTCTGTCATCGCCTGCCCTGAAGCAGCTCCATACGAATCGGTATAACATGTGCATGATGTTCCTGGAACAGCTTGGCGATATATACTGGCATGCGAGCGTCTACCATGACTTTTTCCAGCTGGCGCTGTCGGTCCACCAGGCGTCTTCTTCGAAATTGGTCTCCAGGTCGAACGAAGGTGATCCGCTGGTGGCGTTTCTGCAGCGGCTGATGATGTCGCGTGGTGGTGGCTTCGATGGAGCACATCTCAGCGCACAGAAGGAGGTGGATGGTGATGACGGTATCGCACCCGCTCAGACGGAGAGCATATCCGAAGACCACAGTCGTGTGTACGAATCACCCGGTCCATGCTCACTTGAGACAGCTCCGGAGATGGATGACACCGTGTCGGATCAACAGGATGTGCAGTTTGAGGAATGGCTCGATTTTGGCGCTGGCTTCCATAGTATCTTTCCGGCGGCTTAGCGGAAGAAATAAACATACCCTAGTTACATATCTTATTGCACATATCTGTATATATATAGTGTGCTCATGTGTATATATTGACGGACTACTTGCTATTACCGCTTCTCACCATTCCGAATCTTAAGTCCCTCCGGACTGTTCCAGAACCGACCATTAGGATACTCGTACTCCTCAATGGCGCTCGCCTTGTACTCGACGCTGTACCCTGCTTCCCACGGCGTCACGAAATAGCCATCCTTGACCTGCACCGGATGCGTGATGACCTCGTGGAAGGAATTGATGTGCTCCAGCAGACTCTTGTTCCCGGACACGCAGAGATAGTCGATCAGGGCGAGGTGCTGCGTATACTCATTGAGGCCGATGCCGCCGCTGTGAGGGACGACGGGGATGTTGAATCTGAGGTCAGCCTGTTAGAATGTGTTTCTTGGATTTTGGTTTATGGTGTTCTCACTTCTTCGCCATCAGCAACACCGCCAGCACCTCGTTCACCCCTCCCAGCCGACACGCGTCGATCTGGCAGATGTCAATCGCCCCGGCTTGCAGCAGCTGCTTGAACATGATCCGGTTCTGGCAGTGCTCGCCGGTAGCCACCTTGATGCCGTACGGCTTCAGCGCCTGTCTGATCGTGGCGTGGCCGAGGACGTCGTCGGGGGAGGTGGGTTCCTCGATGAAGCTAAACATAGTCAGCTTCTGCAATTGATGTAAAAAAGACGAGGCTGCGGGCACTGACTATGGCTTGAACTCCGCCAACTGCACCATCTTGTCAATCGCCTCAGGCACATTCCACACCTGGTTGGCATCGACCATGAGCATGTTGTCGTAGCCGATGACCTCGCGCGCGATCCTCAACCGACGCTTGTCATCCTCGATATCCCCGCCGACTTTCAGCTTGAACTTGGTCAGGCCCTCCTCGACCAGCATCGTCCGCATCAGCCGCACCATCTTCTCATCCGAGTACCCCAACCAGCCAGCCTGGGTGGTGTACGCAGGGACGGCGGTGTTGGTCTCCGCATCTCGCAGCCTCTCGGCCTTGGTTTCCGCCGCACTGCGGAGAATACCCAGCGCCTCGTCCGGCGTGACGGCGTCAACGATGTAGCGGAAGTCGATGCACCGCACGACCTCCTCGGGCGCCATGTCCGCCACAAGCCGCCAGACGGGTTTCCCTTCGAACCTAGCCCACAGATCCCAGAGGGCGTTGACGCATGCGCTCAGGCCCAGGTGCACGACGCCCTTCTCCGGCCCGACCCAGCGCAGCTGCGAGTCTGAGACCAGATACCGCCACGTCTGGCCCATGTTGGCCGTGAGGTCCGCCAGGGTCTTTCCGACGAGACGCTCGGCGACGTGGCGCGCCGCGGCGCAGACGAGATCGTTGCCGCGGCCGATGGTGAATGCGAAGCCGTGCCCGCGTAGCGAGTTGCTGCTGCTGCTGCTCGTCTTGAGAATGATGTATGCGGCGCTGTAGTCGGCGGCGGGGTTCATCGCGTCGGAGCCGGACTGGTCCAGACTGGTGGGAAATCGGAGGTCTGAAGTAGCAGACAGGAGGAACATGAAAGTTAGTATATATATCTTGCAATAGTAAAAGAGAAGGGTTCATACCATGCACCTCAAACGAGGTAATCACCACTTCTTCGCTAGCATCAGCATGATGACTACTACTACTGCCGTTGTTGCGAGGAGTTGTTCCTTGCTCTGTCGAGGGAGACATATTCGTTATCAAACGGGAGAGTAGAATATCTCGTACAGTAAGCAGTACAGTTCAAAGAAATGTAGTTCAGTGGCAGAGAGATGGTGAAGCCCTGGTCTGTATATATATATGTAGACAAAGTGAAAAGAATGGTCGATCAAGGGTTTACATTCACCACAAGGTTATATACGCGTTATATATATGATATTGAAGCTAGTAAATATATATAGAGCACTGTCACTCTCTGATCAACCCAACCTTCTAATATCATTTACCTGCCTACTATGGAGATCTGGAGGTAGGTACCTACGTAGGTAGGGTACAAACATCCGTCACGACCAATCACAGCGTTTTCTTCGGCTTTTTCGGGTATATACCTACCTAAGATCCGTTGTTCGTATCCCTATTATCCATCCATTAGGTATGTTCTGTATGTACTGTACATGTACGTATTCTGCTTTCTTTATTTTGTTTTATTTTATTATTATTATTTTTTTAAAAAGTTTATGGCTGTCGGTAAATAAATTGTTGTTGGTGGTTACATACATACTGTACTGTACTGTACATACATATAGGGTAGGCTTTATCGTTTTAAGGTTGAGGGTCTAGGGTTACTACCTGTGTATCTACATCCATGTACAGTAGGTATGTATATACCTATTATCTAGGAAGGTAGGTATAATGTATCAGATATATCTATCTGTGAATTGTTCTCTTGCGATAGTTTGTCAATTTGTTCAGCAGTAGTACTGCTGCAGTAGTACTAGCTGGCTATTATTCAGGACAGTTAATACGACGAGTATCGTACATATTCCAATCTTGACACTTCCGCTTCATTTACACCATTCTATACGTATACGTAGGTTAATCCGCCTCCGCACTCCCCGGCGCCACCGGACTCTTATAGCAGTGCACCGTCTGCGCATTGCAGTACGCCAGCAACCCCTCCGTCCCCCATTCTCCGCCCACACCACTCTGCTTCCATCCCGCCAGGTACCCGTCCGGCCGCGGTATCGGCGGCTTGTTGATGTACACCGTCCCGGACTGGATCCGATCGCCCAGCGCGTTGGCGCGGTCGATGTCGCCCGACCACACGCTTGCGCCTAGTCCGGTGTGCGTGTCGTTTACCCGTCGGATGACTTCATCTTCGTCTTTCCAGGAGAGGATGGG